GTTGTGAACTTCTTTGAGGAGAATTTGGGAGTAACTCAGGCCACTGGATGGCTATTGGAGAGGACACTTGTCCAGGTCATATTTTGCCCTCTCTTTTCTCTTCCTATCACCTCAGTTGCAGTCCCAGGCACTATTATGCTGGTCTTTCTGCCATGTTCACATGGTGCCTTCTCCTGTAGGCTGAGAACGGACTGCCTACACGAAGTTCACTGTGCTCACGCTGCTCGCTGCCACACACCAGATCACAACAGCACTGCGATGGCCAGTAGACAGGAAGCATGAAAAAGGCAGTACTGACCCAACTCAAGAAACATGTATAACCCAAGCGTACAACACTGTTTATAGCACAAAAGTATTCTTCACTTACACAACAATGTACCTTAAAGGATGTATTTAAATAGTTGCTTTATCTCAGATAACTAGCAAAAGGAGGAGGGTAAAAAAACATTAATGAGTTGAAATTGAGTGATGTTATCCCTTATTTACAGAGTAAAATATTTTAAACATGAAATTAGGTAAAATTAATTTCAATGGTAACTATGACTTTATTAACAAAAATTTTAGCTTAAAAGATCTCTTTATTAAATCTATTATCCAACTGCTACCTGAAATTCTTTTTGGAATAAGATGGGACTTGGTAAATAAAAAAGTTTTTAAAGCAAAAAAGCAAACAAAAATACTAAAATGTTACCACATAAAATTTAAATGTAATTTGGCCACTAAAGTAAATAACATAAATAAGTGCCTTCTCACCTAAATTGGTGGTAAAAGAAGTCAGTTAAAGGAGGAAGTCTTTAAAAATGATACATACATACTTGAAACATTATTTCAACATACAAAATTTTTTTCTTTTTGGCATCTGGCCAGTACAGGGATGGAACCCTAGACCCTGGTGCTTGATACTATCAGCACCACACTCTAACCAACTGAGCTAACCACCCAGCCCTGGTTTCAACAGACAATTAAGTAAACTGCTAAAATTTGTGAGTTAAAAAAGAAAACAATTTTATTATTTTATTATAATTTCCATTCACTATTTTTTCCTTTTAAAAGTTTCTCTCTCCTAAATCATGAAATAAACTTTCCCCTGTAGTTGGACTAACTTCTAAGCACGGTTTCTATGATCTGTTGATGCAGACTGTGGAGCACAGTATATATGGAGCACAGATTAATATACAACTTAATAAAACTGCTCTATCTGGTCAGGCTCCTCATGCTCAGCTAGGCTGACGACAGCAGATCCCACTAAATCTCTGTGGGCCCTGCAATTCTAGATAATGGAGTTGTAATTTTGCTTTCTGAAGTCATTTCCATGACCAAATTTGCATTTGCTACTCCATTTGCCTTCAAAATTGACCTCAAGTCCTCCACCAA